GATGTATGGGGATTCTGATTTCATCGTTTTCTCTAAAGCTGTTATTGTAGGGATTGTATGAATGGACTTCATAACTCTCGATTGAACTATCGAAGTGTGGTAAATCAGTAATCTGTAGTATACTCATACTTTAAACCCTAAAGCTTTAAGAAAATCTTTATTTGATTTAGTCAATTTCTTCACGTTTTTCTTACGTCTGTGCACCTTAACGGTTGTTGACGAAATAGGACGTTTTATTTTCACTGGAGGGTTTTTATCATATACTATCATTTTGCTTTTCTTAAATGAAGACGTAATTGAATATGTTCTTCACCAAAATCAATACAGTAACCAAACTGATCGACAATTCTGACAGATATGGATGAAATTATATTTTTATTCACTGGGAAGTAAATAATGTTCTGGGGTATTTCTATGTAGCCATGACTTGAAGCAGTATCAGATATGAATTCGTGAATAAAATGAGTCGGTAATCCGTTGTAATATGAACCGTGCACAAGATCACATTCGATTCTGATTACAGCTGTTGAACTGCTGTTAATAGCGGACACATTCGGTCTTGTTTTGAATACTGAAAAGTATAGTAAACCGCACTCGTAATGATCAGATAAATGAAGAGGTGGTTGAAAATACGAGACCAGTTCTGATTTATTTCCTGAGATGGTAACCGTAGTAGACATGCTTGTATACTGAACTCTTTACAATGATCCGGTTTATTTTATTTCTTGATTATACCAAAAATTCTTTAAAAAATTTAAACATAGATGTCCACAATTGAAGGGATGATCACGTTGTAAATTTTCATAATTATATTGAATGTTAGAACCTACATACTTTATAAATTCCTTTGGAGGTTTAAGATTTCCATAACTGTCGAAATATTCAACATAATCATTATGTTTTGCATAGGCTACCCAATGAGAACCAGGATTTTTAGAACTATCTAAATTAATAACTCCGCATTCTTTTTTATACGGATATTTAGGGAGCTCATCTCTCATAAAAACACCTCTAAAATGAGGAATTCTATTTCCATACTTTAGAATGTCAAAGTTAGTTAAGGCCCGTTTGGGTAGCCGATATCTTAGTTTTTTTCTTTTGATACGAAAATTCCAAGGCCATCTTTATGTGGTTTAAGGTGTAGTCCTTTCCCAATACATAGAGCTTCCATTTTTTCATTGTGTCTCCTCGATTCCTCATACAGCTTTTTAGCTATTTTGTATTCATTTATGGTTTTAGCAATACCAGCTGCACCGCCTGCTAAAGCTCCCGCCGCTGACAACCCAGCAAAAATAGGAATCAGAGGTAGTACTCCTCCAGTTTTTGGAATAGGAATAACACGGGGGAGCTTAATCGATGAATCGTCAGCTAATTCTCTGGTAGCGGCAATAGCTAATTCTATAGCCATTTTCTTGCTCTTAGGTTTTAATTTTTTTATGTGTCTTTTTGCTTTTGTAATAACAGTTTTTAATTTACTTTTTAATCCTTTTCCGGATGTAACTTTTGAAGAACGTTTTTTCCTCAAACCAGAACCAGTTTTAATTTTTGCCGACATAGCCTTACTTACTAAGCGTGCCGCAAGTTTTTCACCTGTACTGGCATCGGAAGCAACCGCTCGCTGTTTTGCCATTTTTAACAAAATTAAATCAGCCTTATGTCGCTCTTTCAAGTTTGATGACTTGTGATATGCAATATCGTGATCTTTGCAATATTCATCCAACTTATTTACACCGCTATCTCCTTGTGCAAGTCTTTTTATTAATTTAGTACCAGGACCACAGTAATTATATCCGGGTAAGTGTAATTCAAATGGTAAATTATTAATAAGCCAATTGAGAAGACTGCTCTCTCCAAAACACATTATAAGACTGATGATTCCGGTTTGAATACTTTAATAAATAGTTATGCGATTCGATTTTGTTGTTAATATTATTTTATTTATAATATAACATTCGATTTATCAATCCAACTGTTTTCAGCTGAAGACAAACCTAGCCATTTTACCAAAACTCTGCTACCTTTTCTTCTAAGAACTTTCTCAACTAGATATACATTGGGATGTTTTGTTTTTTGAAGTTCTTGTGTATAAAATGCACCTAAAATAGGCTGACCTCTAATAGTATCTTCTATTATGTAAGTTATAGGAGTTGTATTTTGTATTTTACGAATTTTAAATATTTCTGTTGACCAGTTTGGAGTATAACCTTTTTCAAATGTTCCTTTGTATTTACTGATACGCACATAATCACCTACTTTATACTTGCTTTTTAAATTATCATTTTTTAGCAACTTTAAATACCTTTCTAATATCAGTTTTTTATTATTGTTGTCCACATTAGCAGGGATTTCATTAATAGTGCGATGGTGAGTGTGATTGTATTTGTAAATAATATCATTGAGGGTATTATTTACCCAATTGTAATTGCCTTTTAAACTAAATTCCTTGTAGATTTTAGATTTCAATGTTCTGATGAATCGTTCAACTATTGAAGCCTTTTTTGTTGAGAAGGTTGAATAATGGTTAATATGATACGATGCCGTAAGCTTCTGAAATTTGTTATTATAAAATTCTGCTCCATTATCCGTTTGCAGATTTTTAGGAACACGCCCTTTATTCAATAAAGTTTTGAAAGAGTTACACACATCTTCTTTGGTTTTATTTCTCATAGGAAAGGCCCAAGCATATTTCGAAAATGTGTCAATAACAGCAAGAATATATCTGTAATTTTTATTTTCTTTTGAAATTGATTGCATATCAATTAAGTCTGCTTGCCACAAGTCATCTATATCTTTCATGATAACATGTCTTCGTGGATAGTTCACCCTTGCATTTTTATGAATTTCGTTTACTACGTCAGCTTTGCTCATATTCACAGTTCAGTATATTTGTATTGAATTCAGTTTTAATACTGAATAAAAAGCATAGTATTACAACTATTTATTATTTAATTATGCCAGCTTCTTTTAATTCCTCGATTATTGATAAAATTTCATTATCATGGTTTGTATTACCAGCATCTCGGGAAGCAATTAATAGTTTCAATCTCTCAACGAGTTCGTTAGGATCGTCCCAATATACCAAGTCAGCATCTTTTTTGTATTTCTTTAGCGTTGGTAAGCTTCCCCCAAATTTAGTAACAATATTACTGTTTAACGATTCAGAAAACAATGGTTTGATTATTTCACGATATTTTATACCTTTATCGCCTCTAATTTGTGCATTAGGATTGAAATCTCTCTTATGTGCATTTGTATAATGCAACATATCTTTATAGACAAGTTTATCTTTGCTCGATATTAGTTTTAAATCAGGTTTTTTTCGAAGTAAAAGTTCTTTTAAACCAGGAGTTAAATTGTAGCTTTTGTCACCAACTTTAATTAAAATGACATTATCATCATTCACACTATCAATTTTAGAAAATGAAACTATTGAATTACCCATTAATAATTTTTTGTTTGCACTCCTAATTCCAAAAGGTATATTTATTCCATCATAAATATCATGGATGTCATAGCCCTCTAATGATATTTCTAGATCCTCTAGTAATTTTGTCTGGGGAGACTTTTTATCGAACTGCATAGAATTCAGTTCTGGTTCGTAGCATTCTTCAAACTTTGTAGATGAGCTAGTATTTTTGTCACCCAATTCCATATCTTCAAAATTAAAGCATGTATTTTCAAAATTTTGTTTTTTTTCTATTGTTTTGTTCGAATCAACTAGGGTTTTAAGGGGATCTGTGACAGGTTTTAACATTTTATCAAGTGACAAGTTCATAGAATGTTCCTGGTTTTTCATTTGTTTTATTTTATTTTTTATGGAGTCAACAGATTTAATTAATTCTATTTTAATATTTTTTTCCATGTTGTAATACGTGTTATCACAACTGTATTAAGCTAAAGAACAAATTATACTGAATTTGATTTTGCATGTTAATTACTTATATGCAGATTATATAAACAGTCAGTCAAATTTAAAAAACATATCAAAATTCTGTCTGTACCTTCCGTTATTTAATGACGATTCTTTATTAATAAGTAGAAAATTATAAGGTTTACTCCAAACAGTTTGACATAGATTTCTGAACTCTTTCCACTGTAAATCAGAACTAACATGTTCTTCATAAATATGTTTTAAATTCACATCATCTTGTTTGAATATAATAAGAAAATTCACATTGTCACGTAATAGTTGTTTCGGAATTTTCGAATAGGTTTGAGATAAATAGAAACAATCTATTTGTTTGTGTCTACCCATGCAGAAATAATTGCGGATGTTTATTTGATTTTCACATGCAACATCATCAAATATAAATACAGAATTTGGTAAAGCTTCAGTCGGAGAAATGACCTCTTTATCATCGTTAAACTTATAGAAGTTCATCTGTGGCACTCTTCTTAATACTTGACTCAAGAAACGATATTTTGGTTGAAATGAAGTTTTGGAATAAAGATAAAGATTTTTAAATTTTAGACCATTTTCATGTAACAACAAACTAATCATAACGTTAGTTTTACCACAGTTCGATGGACCACACATTATACATCGAATCGTATTCGGTAATAAAGGACTATGTCTGATCTGATGAGAAGATTCATTTAAATCTATATTGTTAACTTTCAAAGATATGGGTTGCTTGATCAACTTCATTTTGACAATTACTGTAATGAGTGTCTAACACACATATTTATAGGCAGCTATACCTTTAACACTAAATAAGATATATTACATAAAACATAAATACAGGATTTAACATGTTTGTACAGGTTTAAGTTAATTTTTGTATTCTTGTATTAGGTATACAATATTATATTTTTAATACCTAATTGATTTAATTTCATGTTGCGTCATATTTCATTATGCTGCCATAGTTAGTCGAAGCAGGACCTGTTTTTAGCGGAGAAATTAAGATTTATTGGTAAGATTTTAATGTTAAAAAAATTATCACTATATTTTTAATGTGGATAATTAGATATCTCACTTAAGTTTTATTTTCAGAATCATGTCATACAGCCCCAGCATTCTCGACATTGGAGAACTTAACAGATTTGTATTTGATAATGTTGATTCTCAAATCACAACTCCTTTGAACGAAGTTGATCAGACAGAAATACAAGAGGTTAGTAAATATTACTTTATTCATCATCGTTAGACAAAGTTCAGACAAAGAAACTGCAACAAAGACTTGTTCAAAAAAAATTGAATAGCCCTTTCCACTTTTCAAGGGTAGGCGCGTGTTGAACTTTGATGGAGCCTATTAGTCCGTCAGCATAGTTATGAACTTTTCCAGAATACCCAAGATAGTATTCAGCTTCTAATGTATTTATTTATGTTACTATTTTAGATGTTAATAAATTGTATTTTCACAGCCCAATTCTGAGGATCTACAGGAGGCAAACTACAAAACGTATTTTGAAAACTTAACAAATCAGCAACATTTACCAGTTAAAGACTCTCAGAATAATCAAGCTCAAAGTTCCAAGAAGACTAAAAAAAGGAAGCTGGACACATCTTTGTCTTATGTTATTCGAAATGAACCAGGAAAATGTCATCATTTGATAAATATAGCAGTTTATGATCTGAGTGGTGACACTGTTCCAGGAATTAATTACTGTGAAAATAATAATGCTCGTGTAAGTGTTCAGTACCTAGTGAAAGACTATTGTGATGATATTATGGATGAAATTGAATATTTGATAGGTAAAATAGTAAAAAAAATTAGCTTGTCTAATCAACAGTAAATCTTATTTGGACAAGAGTGTAAGCTGCTTATTACTTATTGTTGAATATAAAATGTCACAAAATTTATCTTCTTTTATTTACCTTTCCGTAAACAATATATTTATATGGTATACTTTTTTATTTATAAATAAAAATAAAAAAAAAACAACAAAGTACTTTATAATATTTATTTGGCATACAAGTAGATATACATGTTATCAATACGGTGTGTTTTACAATCACATAATAGTAAATTATGATAAACACAAAACATAATAATTACAAAACATAAACAAAACATACCTAAATACGAATTCTTATTAAAGTATTGTACCATAATGTCCCCAAGGCACAGTTTCAAAACTGTTTTTTATCATTTGCCGTTTATTGTCATCTCTGTTAAGAATTAACTTATTCAATTTTTGTGTAAAAATGCAATGATTTTTTGATCGTATTATATACATATCATCTCTTAAATTTTCATTATATTTTAAAGCTCTTTTATATTTTTCAATATCTAATTTTTTTGTTACCGGCTTTGTAACCCCTTTTGCCTTTTTTATGGTATTTTTCTCTGACTGTATACAATATAATTTAGCACGTAAACCAACAAATTCTGAGATCACATCTCCTCCCATTTCGTCTTTGAAATAACCCGGTAATTGCATGTTAGCTTTTGGCATACTATATATATTATTTTCTACGAAATTGCTTGTATCAAAATAAGTAATATTATTTTTCATGTCAGTGTAAAAGTCGTCAGTTTTTATGTGATATAGAAGGCTATCAGTGTCCGTATAACACAGTTTTATGTTATCTCCATAGATCTTTTTCATAACCGAATAATGAAAATTATATAAATGTGTTTTAGATATTTCGAGTATAGAAAATCCAATATAAATGGGGCGATCTAAAACTACTTTTGTTTTATTTAACTGTATAGCCACTAAATTTTTGTCTAAAATTGTCAAGTCTTTAAAGTTTGGAGCACTTATATATTTTTCAGCCCCATGTAATTTGTTAGTTGTATTTAATTTATCTTTCCATACCTGAACTAGCCGAACATCAAGTTGTTTGCGCTTGTTTTCAATCGTTTTCCCAAAAATAGAGTTGTTTTGTTTTTTGAAAAAGTCTCTTTCAAAATCTGACTTAGCTTTTTGTCTTAGAGATGTATTTAATGAAATATATGGCTCTAAAAAATTATCTTGGAAGAATGTTAGTATTCTATGTATTTTAAGTAATATTAAACCATTTTTTAAACACTCTTGTAAATGTAAATAATGGATTACAAAACGATATTTGTTATACAGATTTGCTATTAATTTTTTACATTGCCTTTGCAAAGGAGAAAACTTTTCGGCTGCAAAAGGCAAATCTGAATGGGAATTATGAATGCTAGTTGGATAATGTAAATCTACTTCAAGAATATAACCTTGTTTGCTCTTTTTAGATACATTCATGACATTAAAATTGACTATTTCATTTTCGTTCATAAATTTAAAATTACGCATAGGCAGTTTTTGCATCATAGCAAATCCATATAAGTTAACACAGTCTAGGTAAATTAAATAGGAGCTTGGCTCTTTATTATTATAAGACGATAGATATTTATTATTAGCTTTAGCATATCTCAGTGAACACTGGGCAAGACCACCTCGAATTCCATCTTCTAACATTTGGTACATATCAACATCCGAAATTAATTCCAGCTCAACTTTAGTGTGTAACAGCATAGCATCCCAACTTAATGATGGGGATGAAACATAAAAACACGGATCCAAACTATAATAATTTAAACTCATATCTCTAAATTTTTCAAAAATATCACATAGTAAAAGTACGTCGCATTTCAAATATAGGTCCGTATACTCTCCCAAATTTTTTATTTTGAAACTGTCCCACACTTTTTTAGCATGTTGATAATCATCTGTTGAAATATGTTCCCCAGTAAGTTTGTTAAAAAATTTAGATCGCTCAGGCAGTTGAGTTTCGTTATATTTTTCCCATGTATCTATGTAGTCGTAACAGTACACCCCTTTTCTACGAACTAATTGAAATAAGTTTTCATTAGGAAAATACAATTGCATGTGATGAAAATCGTTTGAATGTAAAGTTTTTGCCAATTTATCTAAACTAGTACTCAAAAAATTAAATGAATCTATAAATTTTAACTGAGCGGTATTTGTTTTATCAATCGGTATGAACTTAGTAAACGAGATATATTTTTCTTTTGATTTAGGAATCAAATTGATTCTACCAAGGATACCAGATAATTCTTTAATAAATAAATGAGAATCATATCCAGAGAGATTATGAAAAATTATTGGTATAAATTGACATTTTTTAAAATTTAAATTGCAGTTATTATGTGCGGGACCTCTATATTTACCTGTGAAATGATCGTGGTCTTTAACAATTTTATCGTTTTTAACAAATTGAGTTTTACATATGTGACATGTAGTAGCTTCATTATGAACAGTTAACTCCTCAGGGGTAAGAGGTAACATAGGCCTATCTTCTTGTAAAATATTATGAAGCCTTTTGACATCATTTATTATTGTTTTATTAACAAGTTTGGCTGCAATTTGGGCCTCTATAACTTACAAACTCATTCAGGTCGGGTTTAGCCTTGCAGCAAATATAGTAAGCAAATGAGGATGCTTTATGTGCTTGTACACTTTCAGTAAAAATGGATTTATTTTTGTCCGAGTATTCACATAATAAACTTTCAAAATCACCATATATTACAATAGGTATACTTTGAGTTCTTTCAAAGTTCACAAAATGTAATTTGCTATGTTCTTCAGGTAAAATGGTTTGTTTTCTACCACAGTTGTGATTCATCAATTTATTTATTGTGCCATAGTATAAAAAACATTCATCGCATAAAAATACTTTAGACTTGTGTTTAGTTAATTGACGATGCAAAAGGCGACTAAAGTCTTTTATTAAACAAAAATGTGCTTTTCCATTTTGAAATATGTATAACAGATTAGCATGGATAAGCTTGCGTTTACATGTCAAATATAAAGGACCTGTTACATGATTATTAGAGTCCAGACCATAAACATTCACACTTATAAATGGATTATTCATCTCAAATATTTTTATGTCATTAAAATTCGGAGGATATGATAAATTATTTAAATTAAATAGTTTCGTATAGTGAGGATAAGATTTTGTGCGATTAGGATTCTGTACAGTTGGATACATATGAGCTGAAAGACACCACAAAAAACAATAATTGTCATTGTTACGTATGTTTAAACAAGATTTTGTATTTCTTATGACAGTGGGTAACTGTAAGTAAGTTCCAGCTCTTAGAGGATTGTACTTATTTATATTTACTTCCAAATGACTTATATAATTTATTGTCCAACCAGAGTCTGAAAGTTCAAACTCGGAACATTTTGATGTTAATTTCTCAGAACATTTCCGGTAAATATCAGCAATATCAGTGCTTTGCACTATAATATTAAATTTTGTGTTAAATGATTTCATGGATATTTCATCATTTTTAGGCAAAATGTAAGAAACAAATAGTTCAAAATTTACTTTTATCGCTTTATGTTCTTTAAGGGATTTTTTAATGGTATTATACACAGTGTTTGAAATTTGGCTTAAAAATGTTTCGGGAGTTATAGTGAAAACAATCGGATTTATTTTATAACTTATAATCCTTTTTTTAAATGCAGAAGCAATAACTTGAACATTATCAATTTCAGAATTCGACAAGCGATTTGATTTATGAATATTAGATCTATAGTGAGATGACAATTTTGAAACATAAATCTTGCAGCTTTTACAAAAGAACATTTCAAAAGTAGGTATACCTTTTCGGATAGATTTTTAATATATAAGTTATTGAATGCTAGTTCTAATTAATAATACAAAATATTATTCCGAATTATATTTCATACATTTTATCTTGTATGTTTTCTATTATTTATATTATATTATTTGTAAATATTATTTGTATCTCATTTGTAAATTTCATCAATTTTTAATTTCTCTTGTGTATAATGTCTGTAAGAGAATACACATAAACATAATATATGCAATTAGAATTTTAAATATATAATAAAACAAAGTTAATCTTATTTAAAGTCTCAATTGTAATTTTTAATCAATTAATTGTTTCATTTGTGCAGTTAATCAATTTTTATTTTACATGTGTAAAATGTCTGTAAGAGAATACATATTGTTGCAATTAGAAGGACAAAAAGGTAATTGTTATTTGTAAAGCCTGCAAGGTTTATTTTATATCAATGAACAATAATAATAAGACTTATGGGACATACGTAATAATAAGATAAAATAAAATATTTCCTCTAAAGTTAAATGGTTATTATAAACCTAAGATGGGGGATTACATGAATCAAAAAGTAAAAAAAAAAAAATATCCTAATTATTGGGATTAGGGTACAGTACCGGACGAATATCCCTCATTTCTTTTCGACCAGCATTAACTAGACCGGTTAATGCAGCCCAAACACCTGTGTTCTGGTCAGTAGCAAGCTTCAAAGTTACGAGAGCTTGCTTCCAGCGCTCGTTGTGTGGCAGTCGCTCAGCCTCGCAAGTGTTGTACACTCTCAGTTCGAAAAAATATTGCCCTGTTTTCGTCGGGTCTGATTGGTAGCTGTAGCCCGAAGCTATGCGCTGAGAGAAAGCACTTCTTAAAGTCACCGCTCGAATCGGTTGTTGCGGTTCATCCTGGAAAACAATAAAACTTCAATTTAGCATCTACCTAGTAACATCTAGGTTAAATTCAAGGTGTGTTGTATCACCACGTACCGTTTCGAAGATAAAAAAAAACTTTCCTTATAAAACTTATTTTGTTGGGAATATATCCTAGGCCAGGGATGGCGAACCAATGGCACGCAGCTAATAATTTGGGCACACCATTATTTTGCAAGTTTTCAATTGAAATTATGTACCATAACCACGTACTCGTGCAGAGCAGAACAGAGCCAATTTTATTAAGATATCTTAGCGCTAATGTTAAAATTGTTTATGAAAA